GGGGGGGGGGGGGGGTGCAAATCGAAAAGTTTGTCCCCGGGCGCCGGGAAGGGTCGCTACGCCTCTGACCCATGCTAATCTTTAGTCATTAGCCCACCCATGCTAATGTTTAGTCTTTAGTCACTTCCTGCTAATGTTTAGTCATTAGTCACTCCCTGCTAACGTTTAGTCATTAGTCGCTTCACTTCTCTCACAGGCTAAGGTGTTTTAAACTCGGAGCTAAATGCTGAGCTGAGCAGGGAGCTAAATGCTGAGCTGAGCAGGGAGCTAAATGCTGAGCTGAGCAGGGAGCTAAATGCTGAGCTGAGCAGGGAGCTAAATGCTGAGCTGAGCAGGGAGCTAAATGCTGAGCTGAGCAGGGAGCTAAATGCTGAGCTCAGCAGGGAGCTAAATGCTGAGCTGAGCAGGGAACTAAATGCTGAGCTGAGCAGGGAGCTAAATGCTGATCTGAGTTCAGATACAATATCGTACAGATTTATATACCGAATCACAAGGACAAACTAGCTCTGAGCTAAATTTCGAGTCGTACTCGTTAACCCTAAGTTAACTTATGCTGAACTCCGAGTTCAACGCCCGCAATAACTGAGTTAAACTCAGCGTTGATCGCCCCCCCCCCCCCCAGTTGTGGGCTGTAACTCACAAGCCAGCAGACGACACATGTGGTGGTGTCAGTTGCATGTCAGGTCTGCTGTATAATAACCGTTGAATTTTGCATTGCGAATTAATTGGAAGGGATATTTGACGTCATACAGGGGACTGGCGAGAGATTACAACCTGTCTGTGTGCATGACGTCACACGTGTTAACCAACTGTTTGTTCCAGTGATGTAGTGCAGCAGTATAAAAAATCAGTAAACCGTTGGTGGTGAGACGACCTCACGGCTGGTGGTGAGAAGAGGTGGTGAGACGACTTCACGTGGTGAGACGACCTCACGGCTGGTGGTGAGACGACCTCAAGGCTGGTGGTGAGACGACCTCACGGCCGGTGGTGAGACAACCTCACGGCTGGTGGTGAGACGACCTCACGGCTGGTGGTGAGACGAGGTAGTGAGACGACCTCACGTGATGAGACGACCTCACGGCTGGTGGTGAGACGACCTCACGGCTGGTGGTGAGACGACCTCAAGGCTGGTGGTGAGACGACCTCACGCCTGGTGGTGAGACGAGGTGGTGAGACGACCTCACGGCTGGTGGTGAGACGACCTCACGGCCGGTGGTGAGACGACCTCACGGCCGGTGGTGAGACGACCTCACGGCTGGTGGTGAGACGACCTCACGGCTGGTGGTGAGACGAGGTAGTGAGACGACCTCACGTGATGAGACAACCTCACGGCTGGTGGTGAGACGAGGTGGTGAGACGACCTCACGGCTGGTGGTGAGACGACCTCACGGTTGGTGGTGAGACGAGGTGGTGAGACGACCTCACGGCTGGTGGTGAGACGACCTCACGGCCGGTGGTGAGACGACCTCACGGCTGGTGGTGAGACGACCTCACGGCTGGTGGTGAGACGAGGTAGTGAGACGACCTCACGTGATGAGACGACCTCACGGCTGGTGGTGAGACGAGGTGGTGAGACGACCTCACGGCTGGTGGTGAGACGACCTCACAGCTGGTGGTGAGACGACCTCACGGCCGGTGGTGAGACGACCTCACGGCTGGTGGTGAGACGACCTCACGGCCGGTGGTGAGACGACCTCACGACCGGTGGTGAGACGACCTCACGGCTGGTGGTGAGACGACCTCACGGCTGGTGGTGAGACGAGGTAGTGAGACGACCTCACGTGATGAGACAACCTCACGGCTGGTGGTGAGACGAGGTGGTGAGACGACCTCACGGCTGGTGGTGAGACGACCTCACGGTTGGTGGTGAGACGAGGTGGTGAGACGACCTCACGGCTGGTGGTGAGACGACCTCACGGCCGGTGGTGAGACGACCTCACGGCTGGTGGTGAGACGACCTCACGGCTGGTGGTGAGACGAGGTAGTGAGACGACCTCACGTGATGAGACGACCTCACGGCTGGTGGTGAGACGAGGTGGTGAGACGACCTCACGGCTGGTGGTGAGACGACCTCACAGCTGGTGGTGAGACGACCTCACGGCCGGTGGTGAGACGACCTCACGGCTGGTGGTGAGACGAGGTAGTGAGACGACCTCACGGCCGGTGGTGAGACGAGGTAGTGAGACGACCTCACGGTCGGTGGTGAGACGACCTCACGGCTGGTGGTGAGACGACCTCAAGGCTGGTGGTGAGACGACCTCACGCCTGGTGGTGAGACGAGGTGGTGAGACGACCTCACGGCTGGTGGTGAGACGACCTCACGGCCGGTGGTGAGACGACCTCACGACCGGTGGTGAGACGACCTCACGGCTGGTGGTGAGACGACCTCACGGCTGGTGGTGAGACGAGGTAGTGAGACGACCTCACGTGATGAGACAACCTCACGGCTGGTGGTGAGACGAGGTGGTGAGACGACCTCACGGCTGGTGGTGAGACGACCTCACGGTTGGTGGTGAGACGAGGTGGTGAGACGACCTCACGGCTGGTGGTGAGACGACCTCACGGCCGGTGGTGAGACGACCTCACGGCTGGTGGTGAGACGACCTCACGGCTGGTGGTGAGACGAGGTAGTGAGACGACCTCACGTGATGAGACGACCTCACGGCTGGTGGTGAGACGAGGTGGTGAGACGACCTCACGGCTGGTGGTGAGACGACCTCACAGCTGGTGGTGAGACGACCTCACGGCCGGTGGTGAGACGACCTCACGGCTGGTGGTGAGACGAGGTAGTGAGACGACCTCACGGCCGGTGGTGAGACGAGGTAGTGAGACGACCTCACGGTCGGTGGTGAGACGACCTCACGGCTGGTAGTGAGACCACCTCACGTCTGGTGGTGAGACGAGGTGGTGAGACGACCTCACGGCCGGTGGTGAGACGACCTCACGGCTGGTGGTGAGACGACCTCACGGCTGGTAGTGAGACGACCTCACGGCTGGTGGTGAGACGACCTCACGGCTAGTGGTGAGACGACCTCACGTGGTGAGACGACCTCACGGCTGGTGGTGAGACGACCTCACGGCCGGTGGTGAGACGACCTCACAGCCGGTGGTTAGACGACCTCACGGCTGGTGGTGAGACGACCTCACGGCTGGTGGTGAGACGACCTCACAGCTGGTGGTGAGACGATCTCACGGCTGGTGGTGAGACGACCTCACGTGGTGAGACGACCTCACGGCTGGTGGTGAGACGACCTCACGGCTGGTGGTGAGACGACCTCACGGCTGGTGGTGAGACGACCTCACGTGGTGAGACGACCTCACGGCTGGAGGTGAGACGACCTCACGGCTGGAGGTGAGACGACCTCACAGCTGGTGGTGAGACGATCTCACGGCTGGTGGTGAGATGACCTCACGGCTGGTGGTGAGATGACCTCACGGCTGGTGGTGAGACGACCTCACGTGGTGAGACGACCTCACGGCTGGTGGTGAGACGACCTCACGGCCGGTAGTGAGACGACCTCACGGCTGGTAGTGAGACGACCTCACGGCTGGTGGTGAGACGACCTCACGGCTGGTGGTGAGACGACCTCACGGCTGGTGGTGAGACGACCTCACGGCTGGTAGTGAGACGACCTCACGGCCGGTGGTGAGACGACCTCACGGCTGGTGGTGAGACGACCTCACGGCTAGTGGTGAGACGACCTCACGTGGTGAGACGACCTCAAGGCTGGTGGTGAGACGACCTTACGGCTGGTGGTGAGACGACCTTAAGGCTGGTGGTGAGACGACCTCACGTGGTGAGACGACCTCACGGCTGGTGGTGAGACGACCTCACGGCTGGTGGTGAGACGACCTCACGGCTGGTGGTGAGATGACCAGGTCGGCAGAATGAATTACGTGACGAGAAATGGGACCTGGATTTTGTAGGACACAGAGGTCTGTAGGACATTCCTGGATTCTGTAGGACATTCCTGGATTCTGTAGGACATTCCTGGATTATGTAGGACATACCTGGATTATGTAGGACAAAACAGGATGAATCACAAAGTGCTGGCCACATAATCACCACGTCATCTGCAAACCAGGTCATTCACTCTACATCACCTACCCCACACAGTGTCATTTATTGTGGTTTCTCTTTCATACTACAGGCCTGTATGAGTTTCTAATGATTTTATGGCATTTAAACGGTGCTGCAGGTGTTTGCGACAATTTCTTATTGCGTACTTTTTATTCCTGCATTTTTCTTTGTACGCAGTTGTCTGTGTGCGCATTTTTCTGTGTATTTTTCTTTGTACGCATTTTTCTTTGTTTGCTGTTTTCTGTGTGTGCATTTTTCGTTGTACGCATTTTTCTGTGTGTGTATTTTTCTTTGTATGCAGTTCTCTTTTTCTTTGGTCGCAGTTTTCTGTGTTGTTAGCATTTTTTCAAAGCTAGGCAACATGGCTAGTATGTACATAATACATTCAGAATAAAGAAAAAGAAAACCCAGAATGCAATAGAAATATGTGTATTTTAATATGATAATCTTGATCACACAGGAATCAAATTCCTACAAAAAAGATACAAAGAAAAGAAAAAAGTTTCCTTTATTATAAAGTATTTACAGTTTCATCCCACTTTTTACATCACAAAAAAAAAAGTTACCTCCCTTACAAGCATTTGTTTTATAAATGCAGATTCTAGTTGGACTTTGACCCTAACTGGGGTAGCAGCAGCCCTATCACGTGCCCATTGGTCAGTTCAGGACATGTGATTATCACTGACATCAAATAAATATCAACATATACATTACAATAAATAAAACTCAAAGGCCTTTAAACCAAGCACACCATTCTTTAAAATATAAACAGCTTAAAACAGCACAAGCTAAATTCATCAAGGGGGAAAATGAAAAGGCTTAGGATATTTATATATATATATATATATATATATATATATATATATATATATATATATACCTATATATTTATAAATATATATATATATATATATATATATATATATATATAAAGGTTGTTAAGGTTAAGGTTTAAACATCATTTTCCCAGTCCCACAAACAACCCTTCACATTTGTTTAGCTCTGTCGCTAGAGCTTAGATGAAAACCCCAGGTTGTCTGTGTGGAATTGTGTACTTCTGTCAACCACTTCCATACTACGAGCTATGTAAAAACACCCTGAATATTACTGTATTATGCTACTAGAATTTCATTGATTTCTTTAAGCTAAAGCGTCATTGGTGAATGATGTCACATACTTAGAGAGGAGGGGTTCTTAGAGAAGGGTGTCCCCACCTTCATCACAGGGATGATGTTAAGGGAATGTCACCCAACACACACTGGGTATTACTTACAATACTAAGTAAGTAAGGCAGCTCATTTTTTTTTGGTTGCCTTTAGGGGGTGGGAATGCTGATGTGTTCTTTTAATGGGGAGAAAAGGGGTCAAAATTTTATTCAACTGGTTTGATGCAATTTATAGGCAATACATTTATGGTTAATCTACTTAAGTCACAGATCATCCTATTTAAGTTTAGTTCCCAGATTATTTTTTATCTTGAGTAAAGACTTAAACAATTTCTTACTTGAGAACAAATATCCAACATTTACATCATAACAAAAGTCAGACACATTTTTCTCACCAGCATATTGGATCTCAAATCTAGAGCGAAGTTAAGACATACCCTCCTAATGTATCCTTGTACAAAATGTTACATTGTATGTACACAGTTCTATAGAGCCAAGTCAGACCACATCCAACCAAGAGCCTAAACATTACAAAAGTCATGTGACAAGTCAGACCACATCCAACCAAGAGCCTAAACATTAGAAAAGTCATGTGCCAAGTCAGACCACATCCAACCAAGAGCCTAAACATTAGAAAAGTCATGTGCCAAGTCAGACCACATCCAACCAAGAGCCTAAACATTAGAAAAGTCATGTGCCAAGTCAGACCACATCCAAACAAGAGCCTAAACATTATAAAAGTCATGTGCCAAGTCAGACCACATCCAACCAAGAGCCTAAACATTACAAAAGTCATGTACCAAGTCAGACCAAACAAGAGCCTAAACATTAAAAAAGTCATGTGCCAAGTCACACCAAACAAGAGCCTTTACAAAAGTCATGAAATGATCAACCCCAAACTTGATTACAGCAGACTTAGGCTGGTGTTTGACGTCTCCTACATCACTGACCCCCCTCAGCACTGCCAGATGACAGCTGACATCTATGACAGTTAAATGTACTTGACATCTGAGTCAGTGTTGAGAGAAAACAGCAGGATGCGGTTGGCATTAAAGAACATGTTAGACGAGTGGTAGACCAGGGACCAGACGTAGGGAATGAAGAATTCTTCCGGACTCTCTTCTTCAACATATTTAAACTTCAATTCTGGAAATTTCTGCACAGAAAGGTTTGAAATTGTACATTAAGAGGAAGTTAACTAAAAATATTAAAATAACGAGAATCACACAAATATTTAGAATAAATTAAATTCAATTTTGAACATGAAGCACGAAGTGTTAACACAGTGATGTTTCAGGTACCTTGAGTTTTTCTTTCTTGAAGGTGAGGCTTCCATCTTTGATTGTCTGTAAGACATGGCTGGGGGAGGGGTTGGGGCCCAGGTGCTCTAGCCTGGCGGAGAAGTAGGCCAGGACCTGAAATATGTGAGAGATACGTTTATTAGATGTCAACAACATAGTGGGAACCTTAAACTACAGCACATGGTTCAATAGAAATTTTAAAAACCTTGTTTTGCATGTCTTGACATCTCAACTTACAATATCAATGTTCTATAAACCTTGATAGCCAAACTTACTTTGTCTATGTTCTATAAACCCTGACAACTTACTGTGTCAATCTATATATATAATTCTCTTCTTGGAGACGCTAGAAAACAAGCTGTAAGCGTGATCTCTACCACCCCCACCCCACGTGGTCTGGTTAGCTGTGGTTCAAGCTAAATGTTTACAATTGTAGAGCCGGGTTTAGTGACGGCTATTAGGGGCAGATAATTTAGTTTGAAACAATTTTAAAATTAGGGGAGGGGAACTAGGAGGAGGCTGCTTTCACAGGGGGGGGGGGTGTAGGGTAGGAGTTGGGGGAAAGGAGGGTGGGGGTAGTATCGTTCTTAACGACCTACTGATAGTGTTTTAAAGCAAATATTTTCAGTGGCAGCATTGGTACTGTCGAATTCACAAATTATGAATTACTGAAAAGTAGAAAATTAAAGAACTAAATAGTGGCATATGATACGCCGCGGGTCGGCTCGTGTTCTATAAACCCTAACAACTTAGTGTCTATGTTCTATAAACCTTGACAACTTACTGTGTCAATGTTCTATAAACCTTGACAACTTACTGTGTCAATGTTCTATAAACCTTGACAACTTACTGTGTCAATGTTCTATAAACCTTGACAACTTACTGTGTCTATGTTCTATAAATCCTGACAACTTACTGTGTCTATGTTCTGCAAACCCTGACAACTTACTGTGTCAATGTTCTGAATGATGTCCTGGAAGGTTGGGTGGCCCCTGAAGGCAGTGAAGAGAGACCTCTGGTAGAGCAGGGAGTAGATGAGATGAGGGTTGTGTTGTAGGCTGGAGCTCAGGCAGGAGTTGATGATCTCTAGCACCATTCTCAGGACTTCCTCCAGCACTGACAGGTCCTGTAGCTAGACAAGCATTTGTTACAGGAGTCAGGGAACTTTAGTTTAAATAGTGCTGAGTCATAATTTAAGCTCAACCGTTGTGTGACAGAATTTTCAAGTACATTTACATAAGGACAAAACAGGTTATTGAATATTCTAAGGGACAAAATGGCAGGATGATGCTGAAAACCTGAAAAGTCTCAATTTCAGATACAGTGTTCTAGTCTGTACAACAACCCTGGGTTCACTGAACTCTAGTCAGTAAGTGACTTTAGTTAGGGAAACCAAGTCAGCTGGGAATAGTGTTAACAACACAGTTGAACTCTTCTTCAGCTGCCCATGTGTCCTGGGCATGAAAGGGATATATGATGCTGATTCTTATTGAGGTGCTGATTTTAAAACATAAGGAAGTAGATAAGTACTTAAATAGATAAATATCTTTCATTTTTTTTTCATACTAAATGTTCACAAATTACTACATGTAAAATAAATTATTAGTTTTGTTTTGTTTTTTTACATGTAGTAATTTGTGAACATTTAGTAGGAAAACAAAAATGATGAAAGATATTTATCTTTTCTGGGTAAAGGCTGAGTGAAACAAAAGACACCCTTAAGTTTAGCTGTAGAAAATGTGGAGACTTACATAGTCCTGCTGCTCTATGTCTGTTTGTTCATCTGTCTGTTCGCTAGACTGACTCTTCATGGCTGACTCGCGGATGTCATTGACAAGCCGGGTGTGGCGTTTACAGAGTTGGGAAAACAGGCTGGGGAGAACATCACAGTAGACTGGTTAAATGGTTAAACATCATCACAGTAGACTGGCTAATTAGTTAAAGGACCTTCTAGAATACTGGCTAGATGCATACTACTTAAAAAATAAACAAATAAACCAAAAAAATCATAATGTAAAAAAATATTTCAGATGTGACCATCAAAGAGCAGTTAATTTATCTGTGGTAAGCACACATACTATGATGGGTGTTGCCAGTATCTTGATTTAGATCTGTAGTAATCACACATATGATGGGTGTTGCCAGAATCTTGACTTAGTGCTATATCTACCAAGGCACATACAACAGATATTGATGCTCTACTTCTCAACCACACAATCCCAAAAACAATTGGATTGTGATTCACATGATAAAACCCTAATTAATTCAAAAGTCCAATTCACAAGCTATAAAGTATTTAAGTGAGAGTTGACATGATAGAAACAATACTCAAACAAGAGAAAAAACTGACTTGATAATTTTCTGTGCAACAAAAGAGTTGAGGTGTGTAAACTGTGCGGACATGTTGGCTAGGGCAGCCAGACAGTTGGTGTGGAGATACTTGTCCTGGAGGAGAGAGAACAGCATCACGTTACCATGGTAACATTACAAAACAAAAGAGTTGAGGTGTGTAAACTGTGCGGACATGTTGGCTAGGGCAGCCAGACAGTTGGTGTGGAGATACTTGTCCTAGGGGAGAGAGAACAGCATCATGTTACCATGGTAACATTACAAAACAAAAGAGTTGAGGTGTGTAAACTGTGCGGACATGTTGGCTAGGGCAGCCAGACAGTTGGTGTGGAGATACTTGTCCTGGGGGAGAGAGAGAACAGCATCACGTTACCATGGTAACATTACAAAACAAAAGAGTTGAGGTGTGTAAACTGTGCGGACATGTTGGCTAGGGCAGCCAGACAGTTGGTGTGGAGATACTTGTCCTGGGGGAGAGAGAGAGAACAGCATCACGTTACCATGGTAACATTACAAAACAAAAGAGTTCCGACAGTTGGTGTGGAGGGAGGGGGGGGGGGGGTGATCACAGAAGAACACCATAGAAACATTGTTACTTTTTTCTTAGCTGAGGAAGTTGTGATGTTAATTATAAAAGACTGCAGTAATCTAGATGAACATCAATCTCTGTCATTTTAAATTTTATTTTTTTTAAATCTTTAATTATTAAGTACATTTTGTTAAAATGTATTATGAACTTTATAAAATGAAATTATGTTGATTAGGATTTACCCCCATCTTTTGTAAAATAAAAGTATATTGATTAGACAGTATCCCCAACTTTTGTAAAATACACGTTTATGTTGATTTCTCTTAGAAAATAGAACCCAGCTTCACCTTATAACACTAACAGAATACTGCACTACCCCTATAATCACATTGATGTTATAATATGAGCCCAGTCCCTTATACAGTAAAATTTGTGAGCCTACCCTCATCCTTGTCATGTTGTACTGGATTGTGCGTATGACAACCAAGATCAGCAACCCACCAATTGATATTTCTGAGAGTTGTCTTTCCTTGTACCATGGGACATTCTTGACAGTCTGTAGGCCACACGTTAAAACAGAAGTTATCATTTAGTCAAGCATGGAATAGGAACATTATTTGTATTGATTATAACATTACAACATTTTAGAGAATGTAAGAAAGCATGAAGCAACTAACAATTTCGTGGACAGCTTTGTTGAAGACTTCATCCTCACTGAGCACCAGGAGAATGATGAGCCCCATGTAGATGTGGTGTGAGCTCCTCTCTTGGGTGTGGTACAGGATCTGGAGCAGTGGCATCACCTGCAGACATCACACAAACTTCATTCAAGGGTTGTCAAACGGGAACATATCTAGGTACCACTTGAACGTACGGACAGGTCAATTTTTTACCTTGAACTTACAAGATGTCAATGTTTGTCCAAGTCAGGAGGTTGGCTTTGAACTTCCAAACATGTCCACATTTGACCTTGAACTTACCAACATGTGAATGTTTGACCTTGAACTTACCCACCTGTCCATGTTTGACCTTGAACTTACCAACATGTCAATGTTTGTCCGAGACAGGATGTAGGCCTTGAACTTACCACTATGTCCATGGTTGACCTTGAACTTACCAACATGTCAATGTTTGTCCGAGACAGGATGTAGGCCTTGAACTTACCACTATGTCAATGTTTGACCTTGAACTTACCAACATGTCAATGTTTGTCCGAGACAGGATGTAGGCCTTGAACTTACCACTATGTCCATGTTTGACCTTGAACTTACCAACATGTCAATGTTTGTCCGAGACAGGAAGTAGGCCTTGAACTTACCACTATGTCAATGTTTGACCTTGAACTTACCACTATGTCAATGTTTGACCTTGAACTTACCACTATGTCAATGTTTGACCTTGAACTTACCAACATGTCAATGTTTGACCTTGAACTTACCAGCATGTCAATGTTTGACCTTGACCTTACCAGCATGTCAATGTTTGTCCGAGACAGGATGTAGGCCTTCATGTTAGGGTTCTGGTGGAGCAGCAGATAGAGCAGGAGGGTGGTCTGGTCATCATGGAGGGTCTGACACAGCACGTTGTACACCTTGCTCATGTCCAGCTTGAAGGTCGAGGCTATGTGGGTGGGGGTAGTGCTCGATACATCTGGGGGACAGGTTTAAAGAAATAACATCTTCAGGTGAGGGAAGATGACACAACATTCATTCCGTAACTCCAATATAAACATATTCTTTCAATTAAAGGGTAGATCCTTTAGATAATAAAACATGTCTCAACTCAGTTATGATATGATTCTTTACAACAATTACAACAGTTTTTAGCTGAAAGATTTGCTAATAAATGGGCTGTTCTTATGGATGTGTCCATGGGTTTATAAAAGCTATTAATGACATGTGGGGATGTTGTTTACTCTTTTAGTCCGTAAATAATTTTATATGTTTTACCAGGATTATTTTTTTTCACTCAATTTTTTTCAGTATCCCTGAGGCTAAACGACTCATATCTTTTTACCAGCTGATTAAAAACCCACATATTACTGACACAAATTAATTGTAATTGATTGTACTACATACTAATATAAATTTTAAGCAATTATTTATTTATTGAAGAAAGATAAATACTTAGTTTTAAAGAAGAACAAATAAAGAGTTGATTTTTTTGGGCAACAAATACTCTTCTGTCTGGGAAAATTAATAAGAATTACTTAACATGAGTTCTTATTCATAGAAAACGAAAGTATGTCCAGTTTGAAAAAAAAAACAAATTAAATAGAGAAAATATTATCTGACGCTGGGAGCGTTGTTACTGTCTTAAAGAGTTAAAGAATTTAGCACAGGACTTAAAACCAACAAAAATGAGACGAGGTCGGCTAGAGCTAAGAACAACACTCGTAGTTGGCACAGTGACAGCAACTCTAGGAAACACTAATAATCTAGTAATATAAACCTGCTTGATGTCAGGCACCGTAATACTTTTATTATATAAACCTTACATTTTTTATGAAAACCAGAGAAGCTTGTACAAACAGATTGTACAACATTTAATTATGATGAAAATATCATGATGGATATTGGATAGACAAATTTTAGGCAAACAACAATAGGCAAAAAAGCAATGATGGAATAAATACACATGGTGGGCCAGCTAACAGTCATGTGACAGTGACTCAGAGAGACAAGTTTCACCACTGTTAAATAAAAAGGGACAGGTACATCAATATATATAAACAACAATCTAATAATGTTTAACTTAAACAATATAGCACAGAGAAAATAAGGGTCTTTGATGTTACCCCCAGACCCAGTCAATACTGCAGATAAATTACCCACCTCTAGAGAATACATACTATACTAATATACATATTACATAACCTACTACAATTTTACCTTATTTTTAATAAATCTTTCTTGTAGTAAATAAGATGATTTAAAAAAAAACAATAGCAAAACTGTACAAATAAAAGAAAACAATAAAAATCATAGAAATATAGTTTCTAAGCATAATTTCTAGCACATGATAATCACATTTGCATAAATAAAGCAGACCAATCAGCAGACTACCCAAAAATCTTACCATCATACCCTGATGAGTGGAAAGGTAATTCAAACAACTGTCAGTTACATTCCACAATTAGAAACATTTGAAGTAAATAAAGTAAGGTTTTGTTTTGTTGTAAATTAGCTCTAGCACTACAGAGGTTTATTTTTAAAATAAACTAGAAATTAAGTAAAACTAATCTAATAGAATACATAATTGGTAAAAAACATGTTTAAAACTGTTGCATGTACACATTTCTCTTTATAAAACTAGTTAGTTGACAAAACATTGAGCCACGAATGAAGAATTACCTTGTGAATCAGTGAAAGAAAACAAGGCCTGTCTGTAAGGATTGGGAACACTTTTGTCACAGGTACAATGATTGGTCAGCACAAGAATGAAAAGCAGGCTCTGGTTGGCTAAGAGTGTATCTGATTGGTCCACTTCTGCCTTCTTGCCTTTGCTGGCCATGCCCAGTGTAACAACAGACCAGAGGCTTGCTGGGGACAGATAACAATGACATATGGGGATGACATTTGACATCACATAGTGACATATGACATCAAATAGTGACATATGACATTACTTAGTGAAAAGACATACAACATCACAACAAACCCCACACCCTGTCGCCAGATCTCCCCAACCCAACCCCCCCCCCCCCCCCAGTATAATCTACACTAACAAGACTATTTATATTGATGTGGATTTGTCTTTTGAATTGGGTAAATCATATACTTGAAATCAATGAGCATATAAATGAACTGACAGAAATCTTTTAACTGCCATTGAAATACTAAGAAGTAAAATAATTTTTTTCAATACAGAAGCTTAAACTAACATTCCCACACATCTACTGAAATAAAGAGGGCATCAAGTGTTTAATAGGTTAAAATGTTTGAAGTTGTATGACAGAGACAGGCCAGTGCAGGCTGTTGTTAGCTTACATGCTAGTGCTGCTGTGGCATTGTAAATAAAGCTGCCATCTTCTGAATGGCCTTTGTACAGCTCAGGTGGGCACTTCTCTTGGTTCAGGTAGTTCCACATTAGGGCTTTAATTAATAATGGGGCATGGATGGCACTGAAACACATCAGGGCTTTAATTAATAATGGGGCATGGATGGCACTGAAACAAAGGGCATGAACAAATCAACAGGGCACCAGTTAAACTAAATAAGAAATATAATTCCTGCATCAGTACAAGTATTATGTACTAAAAAAGTAAACAGTGGTTGACTAATGTAAATGTTAACAATGTCTCTGTAGTGTCAGTAGGAGAGTGTGAATGCCTTGATGTGTTTACCATTTCCCCTGCATTAAAATCTTGTAGATAACAAACTGGCTGGCAGGTTTAGAGTGGAACATTTGTATAGAGAGCAGAGCCAGCAACGTATTCAAGGTCTCCAGATGGAGGGCATAGGTACAGCTCCTGGAGAGACACACGTTTGAAACTTTTAGATCTGATTACACAGTAGGTACTAGTTTTCATTTAATTTACAAATTAAAAACAAATCTTTATGTGATTTACAAATAACGTAATAAATTTATCTGATTTATAAATTAAGCACAAAGATTAAGGAATATACAAATTTTATTAGAAAAATATTAGAAATCAAGATGGGAAGCGAGAAAATGTGTTTTCTGATGAAATAACTCTACAGTACAAATCTAATTCTATCTTCAAAGATTCATGTCTAGCACTGTGAGCCAATCACTTACAGTATGGGGACATCAACAACAAGCTCTACTAAAGAATTGATGAACTCTTCAACTTGTGAACCAATTTCTGCAGTATCATCAGCTGGGCTGCCTGGTAAAACAGAGCCATGTTTAGTACAGAGGTCAACTTGAGCAGACTGATACAATTTAGACTAAAGATCTTTTCTTTTGCTATATGAAAATTTCGTACTTCTTGCTAATTCAAATTTTTTAATTTATAGGTACATTTTAAAAATTCTGCTCAAGAAAACAGAAAGATAGTTATTTTAACAGTGAAACAATCAAAACAATTAATTCTAAAAATTAATAGTTAATGTTCAAAATGACAAATAAATATTACAAACTGCACTTCTTGTCTGATGTATCTGTTTATTGTAATTCAATTGAAGAAATACATGCCTTATTTTACTACTTTACAAATGTGTAAATAAGAATCATCACAGACATGACAAAACAACATTACCATTTGGTTTAGGTGGAAGACAATCAAACTGATGCAACAGTAGCTCCTCACTCAGGTGTTCCACAAAGTATTTACACAGGCTCCGAATTATAAACAGTGCATTGTAGGTTTGCCATATAAATATGTTGCTAAAATATAATAAACAATTTTACTTTAAGTGTGAAATAAGGGTTTCCATGAAAATGCATTGCTAAGAATATGAAAATTATTTTAGTTTAAAAAGTAGGATGGTAAGTGATGTCTGTTAATGTCCTGCTAGCTCTGATGGGTACCTGACTTATAATAGTGAAACTAGTACAGCTGGGCCTAGTGCTGAATGCACTATCCCTTAATTTTATGCAGACACAACAGAAAAAAGTGTCAGGTTCAAAAAGTAAACTATTTAAAATTATTTCAAAAGTTATAGAAACAAGATCACAGCATTCTTAATACCTTTAAAAGTTTTTTTAACTTAGGTGATTTAAATAAATAGAAGGCGTTGTTTAAAGGAGTTGAAATCTTTAAAGACACTTCTACAGTCCTTATTATGAATAAAGTCTTACTCTTCACATTGAGCTGAAGCCTTTAGCTCTGAAGCTCTAATTAAGAAGTTGTGAATGAGAGCTCGCAAATTGCCAGTGTGGCAGTTGTTGAGGGCAAAGTTTCTAGCAATAACATCAGTTGATTCTTCCAGTAGCTTGGCATCAGAACTAAAACAAAAATTGTGGGAAATTTAAATTTAAAGAGTTAATATGAATAGTTCCCTACAACTTTGCATAAAAGTTATATTTTAAATTAAGTGCATCAGAGAAAAAAGCATTATCTAAGCATTTTATTAAACACACCAAGTAGTTGACTAATGGCAATGTTCAGTACCTGTTTACTGGGATCTGAAAGGAAAATGACAAGAGCTGATTCCAAAAAGGATCCATAGGATCAATCGCTTCTTGACTTGACAGTCGCTTCAGATATTCATTGTTAGGTAGTTCACTCAAACTACTGCTGGTAGCTCCCATTGTAAATTATTTCTTTAAACTCTCATAAATAAAATTCAACTGAAGAAGTTAAAAGAAAAACATTACAAACAGATTGATAAAAATATGACTGAGCAGTTATTTTAATTTCACAAGTTTTCATTTTTAAAGTTTTAAAATCATTTAACTAGACTTACAATAATTAGGCCCCTAAAGGCCTATATAAAAATTTAACCACCATTTAGTGAAATAGAATTTTATTTATTATAATCTATATTTCTAGAAGAGTAATAAAGAAATGGTGCAATGACTTAGTTTAAAAAATTATGTCTCTCAAGAAGATACATGTTTTAAATGGTGCAATGACTTAGTTTAAAAAATTATGTCTCTCAAGAAGATACATGTATTGTTTTGTTCAGAAAATATTGTCTGTAGACTAGACCAGTAGATCTAGACTCTAAATATAATTTTATTGTATTCGTTTTTTAGTAGGTCATGATACAGTTATATGCCATATATAATAATATATATAGATAGGCCAGAGGGGTAGCGATGGGGGGCAGGGGGGGGGGGACATATGTCCCCGGACGCCGACCTTAGGGGGCGCCAAAATGGGTTGTAAAAACAAATTAAACTGTCAATTTAGCTGCATTTTTGCAGTTTGAGGGGGGGGGGGGTGCAAATCGAAAAGTTGAGGGGGGTGTGCAAATTGGAAATAGGAAAGTTTGTCCCCGGGCGCCGGGAAGGGTCGCTACGCCTCTGCAATAGGCCCTAAGTACAGTGTTAACTCATTATACAAGTGCTCAAACATATGAGGTTTTTGAGTAAGCAAGTTACAGGCAAAATATGAGATACGGGGAACTGGATCTTTGGGTTTCACAGTTTATTGAATAGAAAGACCCCGAAAAGTTGCAACTTATTTACATCGCAGCTATTCTACAATTACTAAAATTGGTGACCCGTCAAAAGAGCGCACGACAAAAGAGCGGCGACAAAAGAGCGCCAACATATGAGTGCAGTCAGTTAAAAAAACACATGTTGTACGCTAAACGAATAGGACATGGTTAACACGTCTTTATTTATATATTACGGTTAATATGTTATGAATGCAGTTTGACAATATTTCTAATCCAAGTAACATGGAGAAGATCGAATCACAGAAAGGGAAGGTTATTATATTGGTCGAAGACAGGACAGAGCAAATGGCGATGGAACTTATTTTTTTGTTACATTTCATTTCAGTTTATATTCTCACTTTAGCCTAACATTTAAAATCTTTGTATGTGTTATTAGATTGAGTTTTGAATAATTGGACTTCACGTTGATTGTACCAGTTTTTTAGTTAAAGAAACTGAACAATTAGTTTTTTAATGACACAATAAAGAGTTAACATCAAACGATGCTTTCTGATCTGAGTTAATTTTCTTGTTTTTTTTATCAAATATGACTTTTCGATTTTTAGTTTGCGCTCTTATGTCGGCGCTCTTTTGTCAGGAAATTAGTGTGCTCTTATGTCGGCGCTCTTATGTCGGCGCTCTTTTGTCTGCGCTCTTTTGTCGTGCGCTCTTTTGACGGGGTGCCCTAAAATTACTAGAGTCTAGTGTAGATCTAACTTAACTTAGCAATTAATTCAATTATAATTTATAAATCTACTACAATAACAGTAGGTATATTAATAGGAATAGACCTAGGCCAGGGGCATAGCGAGGGGGGGGGGGCGGGGGGTGCGGACCGCACCGGGTGACACCATTTAGGGGGGTGACACCAAGGCAAAAAATAGCAAAATATATAGAGAAAAACTTGAGGGGGGGTGCAAATCGAAAGTTTGAGGGGGGGGGGGTGCAAATCGAAAACTTGAGGGGGGGGGGGTGCAAATCGAAAGTTCGAGGGGGGGTGCAAATCGAAAATTTGTCCCCGGGAAGGGTCGCTACGCCTCTGGGGGGTGACACCATTAAGTGCCGCACCGGGTGACACCCGACCTCGCTACGCCACTGACCTAGGCCCTACATAAAACAATACCTTATATAAATATTATCCCTAATATCTTCTAGACATTCTAGTCTAGATCTAGATTTTTATTAATAGTAATAGAATAGGCCTATATAATTGAATCATTGATCTTTTTTATTTTTTTCTACATCACGATACTCGATACAATTAATTACAGTTATTTTAGTTTTTATTCCTGAACATGACATCTCAGTCATACACTCATCACACTGTTTACACACACAAAAAAACTACAAGCAAGTGTGCTAAGTAGTAAGTAGGCAAGTACGGTAAACCTCCATTTTAGCGTAATTTATTCTCCGTTGCTTGTTTACCTCCAGTTGAGCGTATTTTATTATAATAACCGAAACACACCAAAACATTAGAAAAATACGATTTATTTTTTGTATTGTATTTCTGTTTTCACAAATGAATAAAATGAATGTTTAAAAAACACGACTTATTTATTTGTATTGTATTTTTGTTTTAACAAATGAATAAAAAACAACAAAGAGACTGACTGAAGTGCTTTGTTGGTTACAAAAATAGAGATGCACACTTTGTACAATTAAGTGTTCCAATTTCAACTAAACTGAATAAAAGTATTAAAAGGCACAATGATGCTGCCGAAAGTTGGCCGAGGGGGGGGGGGTGGAATTTGGTGAGGGATGGCTTGGAGTGTTAGAGAAAGTGTGACAAAAAAAAATGTTAGAGGTCGTCCATAAATGACGTCACACTCGTAGGGGGAGGGGGGGGGGTGATTTTGTGACGGTGTGTGATGAGGGGGGGGGGGGGGGTTCAGATGGTGCTACGTCATTTTGGGGGGGGGTCTTGCTTTTTGTGATGACACGCTTTTTTTACGATTTTTACCTCCCGCCTCCCCTCCGTTACACGTCGTCACAAAAAGTCAGACCCCCCCCCCCCCCCTAAAATGACGTCACACTTCAGCCTACAACCCCCCCCCCCCCTCAAAATTTCTGTTGAATTTTTCTTAAAACATCGGTAATTTTTCCAAAATCTTGTCAGAACTCTGTCAACATAGAGTATTTTGATCAATTCATATTACAATTTATTAAAACCGTTTTCTAAAACGTGAAATAACGGCTAAAACTTGTTTTTTTAACATTGCTTTTTTATAATGCAAAAAAGGGACGTCACACCATCTGAAACCCCACCCCCTCCCCCTCATCACACACCGTCATAAAATTGCTGACCCCCCCTCTCCCTTACGAGTGTGACGTCATTTATGGACGACCCCACATCAATTTTTTTTAAAAGTCAGAAATTTACTCATACAAAAAAGGGAAGGATGGTAGATTTACTATGAATTTAAATAACATACAACTCTATAGTAAAATATTTTTTTCAGTTTTAGCAAAACTGTCAAATTAAAAAACACAGAGTTTGTACATTTATTGCATAAATACAAAACAGAATGATTAACAGCGTATCAGTTTCACCATGAGACAAATGCCTTTTTTTTTTTAAAAAATACAATACAACTAAACAAGTCGTGTTTTTTTAAATATTCATTTTTATTCATTTGCTAAAACAAAAATACAATACAAAAAATAAATCGTGTTTTCCTAATGTTTTGGTGTGTTTCGGTTGTTATAATAAAATACGCTCAACTGGAGGTAAACAAGCAACGGAGAATAAAATACGCTGAAATGGAGTTTTACCGGCAAGTACTATATCTAACTAGATCTATAACCTAAGAAGTCGTCCTAAGATAATGATATAGATCTAGAGTCAGATATAGATCTAGCTAGTGGCTAGGCCTAGCTAGATTTGTAGATTATTCTACCTCTACAACTCAGACAACAGTTACACTATATCACTATAGTTGTGACTATAGTTATTTAGTTAAGAAGTACAGTACACAGTGAAACTAAATTACTAAAAAACAGCTTAATTTCTCTAACCAAGAACTTACATTCTTTGTAACGACATATACTTCATTTATATAGCCTAATGAACTAGTCTGACTTAACATACATCTACAACAAAACAACTATAAATGCTGAAAAAATAAGCATTGATCCTGTTTATAAATCTATCAACAAACTCAACACTCCACGTAAATTTTGATAACTCATAATCTCCCCTGGTAAATGTAAAATTTGTATTTTCTTGTTTAGAGAGCTATTAAGTATTTCTAATTTTACTCTCCCTTTAGAAAAAAAAAACCCCAGGGTTCGTAATGTAAAATATATAAATAGAGATGAGTGGGTTTTAGAGAGGGGAGGTGGGTGAGGGTAAAACTTGTGACGATGAGCCATGTGGGACAAAGAGTAAAGTGTAGGATAAGTGACGTAGTTGTTGAAAAATAAAAAAAATATGTAGGCCTAAATTATAGGTCTCAGCTATATAGGCAGAGTTTCTTTCAGTAAACCCCTCTTCCTCGAAGCAGATATAACCCCCCCCCCCCCACGAACGAAATAAAATTTATATACAAAATATATACTTCAACCAATGTCCACCCCCCCCCCCCCCACACACACACACTTAATAGTTTCAAGCCCCCTCCC